CCGAGTCGATGATGGTGATGACGATGTCACATGCTCCTAAGTAGCCGAAACACCTTAGGAAACAGAAATGTCAACACAAAATCGGTCAAGTGCGAAAGGTGGGTGTTTTTGTGATGATTTGTTTGGATGGGGCTAATGGTGGTGGTAGTGGGATGAGTGGATGGGGGATGTCAAGAACTTCTAAACGAGCTAAAGAACACAAAAAACAGACTTGGGAGGTGGAAGTTATGGCCAAAATGGTGTTGATAGTGGGCTGATTTGGGGGGGTGCGGGTGCCCGGGGGGTGGTAGGTGCGGGTGCCCGGGGGTGGCTGGGCGAAATGGCCCGGGGGTTCGAGGTGCGGGCACCCTGTGGTGACCGATTTGGGTGGAAATCTTTGGGGAAAGGCCAAATTCGGTGGATTTCATGGTGGGAAGGGTGGTGATTGTTGGGGAGGGGCTAGATCCACTTGCCAAACATCAAATCCATGGACCAAAACAACCAAATCTCACAAGATCCAACAAATTGCAAGAAAAAATTTTGGGGCTATTTTTGTGGGGATTTTTGAATTTGGATGAAAAACAACAAAATCAAGCTAGCAAATGGGGGGATGGGACTCCAAGATGTGAATAAACCTTGCTCTGATACCAAGATGTTGTAGGGTCAAACCCTAGGTGAGACCTTTTCACACTTGGAGGGGGGGAAAGGAGGGAAAACTCAAGAACACCAAGAACAAAACTCTCAAACAAACCCAAATATCACATCCACTAGAGTAGCATACATGAGATCCACAAGATTACAAGATCAATCCAAGGATAATAGCACTAGGTAAGTTCTTCCCACTAGGTGAGGTCTTGATGTTGATCTTCTCCAAGAGGAGGCCTTGACAATCCAAAGGATTCTTCCCTAGGTGGGGGCTTGATCTCCAAAGAGGAGGGGATACAAGGAGCAAAGCTCACAATGTGTAATCTAATACTTTGCTAACCTTCCAAAAAAGCTAGGGGATGGATATATAAAGCCTAGGGACAAAACTTGGGGAAAAGGGATACAAAGGACCAAAAAGTCCCTAAAACACGTGGCCACGGAGGAGGAGTCCGGGCACACGGGGTGGAACCGGCCGGACACCCGGGGTGGAACCGGCCGGGCACCCGGACCGGTCAGGGGCTCCGGAGGGAGGCGGACCGGGCACCCAGGGAGCCAAGTCCTGGGCACCCGGGGTGGCCACCAGTGGCTGGGTGGAACCGGCCGGGCACCCGGACCGGTCAGGGGCTCCGGAGGGAGGCGGACCGGGCACCCAGGGAGCCAAGGCCCAGGCACCCGGGGTGGCCACCAGCGGCTGGGCGGAGCAGGTCGGGCACCCGGGGTTGAGGGCCCGGGCACCGGGTGGTGGTGTTGGCGCGGCCCAGGTCCGGCCGGGCACCCGAGGCCAGTTGGCTGGGCACCCGGGGTGGGCTGGCTGAGGCCCAAATGAGGGGGGCGGGCACCCGGGGCCGGCTGGCGCATCTCCCGGGCAGAGGCCGGGCACCCGGGGCCAAGGAGGCCGGGCACCCGGGGTGTCCAGGGGTTGTGGCCCTTGCTTCTTCTCCTTCTTCTCTTCTTTCCCTTGCTTCATGGTCGCTTGAATCTCCGTCCTCTCCTTCTCACTATCATCTTCTTGGTACCTAAGCATGAACAATGTTTCCGTTTGAGGTAGAATCCAATCCTCACACGAATCCAAACGAGAGTTGAATAGGAAAGAGTTCACCTCGTTCTCGATGGCGCGTGCACGTGCTCTTGTCATTGGTCCACTTGGTGCTTGCGATGGTGATGGAGTGTTGCTTCGAGTAGTCGAGGGATGCTCCGCATCACCTAGCAGGTGGGAGATGCTTCAACTGTCGTGATTTCGTGGTCACATGGTCGATGAAGGTCTACGCATCCTTGATGCAGGAGAAGGCCACATCTTTTAAGCCCAACATGAGCGGAGCGTCCAATTTCTACCAAGGCATAGGGGAGGCGCTCTGAGCCGACCGCCGATTCAGCATTACAGAGCGCATCCTTCTTGACCCACTCGGACTAGTCCCGTGCGATCACTGCGACATGGTAGATGGGGGTGAGTGCGGCGATGACGGGGAAGGGGGAAGATAGGTGAGGAGTGGCACCGATGAAGGGGGTGGATGGGTACCTATGAATGGGTACACTCCAGTGAGAAAAAATGCCGGTTTTGGCGCACGCGTGTGCGGAACGGGTAAGAATCGCTCATACGGACGACACCACCATTGACCAGGCTGCACGCAGAAGGAAGAGGCTGTGCTGAAACATCCCTCCCATGCGAGCGGTTGCTTTTGCAGGCCACTCGATATCAAAGCCCCCCAACTTCAAATATGAAGGCTCGCGGGCTCGATTTGGAATGACCTCCATAAATTACGCAGACCGAGGGGCATATCGCGATTCTAGTAGGCCGCCCATTTTGGCATGGTGATGTGATCACCATGAGGATGGTTATCATGGCGATCATGCCGATATGATGCATCTGCTAGAGTTGCCATTAGCAGCTTCCTTCATACCTTTCAGTGCGTTTGTGTTTTGGTAGCACAAATCTTCATCAGCTATGACCAATACAACTTCCTTAAACACTATATTGTATCTAACATTAGAGCATCTATAGCCAGACATGACAAATCCAGCCCCTCAAACGCCTACAGACGCGCCTGGGTGCGTCTGCAGGCACTGACCGGCCAGTCCTCAAATTTCATCGTTCATATCCACATATCTTTTATCCGATCCCCTATATTCATACTAAACCATGCAACGTTGATAAAAAACTATGTAGATCATGAGCGGACATAGAAATGGACATACAAATGCACAATCTGTTCATTAAAAGATCACAACCGGATCTTTGATATATAGCTAAAGTTCACATAATGCACATATTACGACAGATCTTCCCCATTTCCTCGCGAGCCCTTTCCCCTTCTGGTCGACAGCGCTGCTGTAGGTGTCGGCGACTGTTGGAGGATCGCCGGAGTTGTCGGATGGGGCACCGTGGTCATCACCATCGGATGACTTAGAGTCAGAGAGGATGATCAGCCCTTTGAGCCGCCTGACGACCTGGTCCTACTGTCGCTTGAGCTTCGCCAGCCAAGCCGCCTGACAACCTGGTCCTGCTATCGCTTGAGCTTCGCCAGCCGAGCCGCCTCCTACGCCTTCTCCCTGGCCTCGCGCTCAGATTGCTAGATGGCAAGCCAGAGAGGCTTCGCGTTCTTCCGGCGAAGCCGCCGAGCGTTCGTCTCCGCCGTGGTAAGCGACCGGCGGTAGACCCACGCGTGGAGCCATTCGTCTTCGTCGGGCTCCGCCTGTAACGCACGACGGTAGCGGACAGAGCTCTCCGTCGCGTCCCTCTCCCTTGCCCGCTCCCTCTCACGGCGGGCGGCGCACGCCTCCAACTCCGACATGCGCGTCCGGTGGGCCGGGCAGACACAAGCACCCACCACTGCCCCACGGGAGCAACAGCTGGCGAAGGCAGGGGACGGCGTGGGGGAGGCGCGGACTACGCATCCCTCATGGAGCTGCGCGCGGGCCTGGAGGCGAGAGCGTCGGCGTCCTCGCTGCTCCAGCGGGGGAGAGGCAAGGCTGCCGATCCAAAACTGCCCCCCCCCATGTCCACCTTGGACCTCTCAAGGGCAATGCGGAGGGCCAGCTCCTCGTCGATGTCGAGGACAGAGTCGGAGCGGCTGCCGACGCAGGTCGTCCAAGTCGTCAGACTGGATCGACTCGGAGAAATTGAAGGAGAGAAGAAGAGACGGAGCGAGAATGGAGTGAGGTAGGGTTTCTGGATTGAGAATATTTGTGGGGTTGGGATGGGCCGGACTGACGTGACGGACGTGTTCGGTCAGCCCCATATCTACCCTTTATTTAAGCTGGATATGAGGGGTGTCGCACAGCCCGGACGTTTAAGGCCCGTTTGAGGCGTCCGGCTGGGTCATATTTTCGTGACCAGACGGCCCATCCGGGCGTTTGAGATCGGTTTGGGGCGCCGGCATGCTCTTAGCTTACCAGATCTTGACTGTACTGTACGTAATACCTCTTCTTATATTGCGACAACTTTTTTGTGCATTTGCAGTTGCAAAAGCTCAAGAGGACGAATGGCAGAGGACAAGTAAGCTGCATGTTTCTCCTAACTTATGTTTTCTGACTTCTCATTTCAAGGTAAAAAGAAAAGACATGTACTTGTTCTTATCCAAAGGTATTCTCTTTCTAACAAGGAGCAGTAGCACGGGGAACAAGGTTGACAACATACGAGGTCAGCCACGTAGGCTAACGTACCAATATCTAAAAGATATTACGAATGATTTCGACAAGGAAGTTGGCCGTGGTGCATACGGAACAGTTTACAAGGTATGACTATATACATAATCTTTGTCTTTAATCTAGAAACAATATATCGCTGTTATTAAGTGTGGACCGTGGGACAAATTTATAATCGGTACAAACCTACAATAGATATGTTTGAAATGTGTGATATTGACTTTACTTGAACTTTTAGATCTTTTCTGAGATGATATTGGTATTCATTAAAACAAGCACAATATCTTCCTCACAATCTCCGTAGTTACTTTTACTTTGTAATTTAATACAAAAGTTAGCAATATTAGCCTAAATTGCATGTAACAGTAAAGTGATGTCAGTGTTAGAAGGTACTCCCTCCGTCCGAAAATACTTGTCATCAAAATAGATGAAAAAAGATGTATCTAGAACTAAAATATATCTAGATACATTCTCTTTTATCCATTTTGATGGCAAGTATTTCCGGACGAAGGGAGTACTTAAGAGTTGCTGAACAGGGTACTTGTAAAAATGGCGAGGAGATTGCTGTGAAGGTACTTAGGAACATGACAGGACTTGATAATAAGGAGTTTGAAAAGGAGTTTGAGAACCTTCGGAGGCTCAAGCATCAAAATATTGTTGAACTATTGGGTTTCTGCAACGAATCAGAGAAAGTTGTTGCAGAATAGAATGGGAAGCTGGTTACCGCTGAAGAGATGCATACAACGCTCTGCTTCGAGTTTGTATGTAATGGTAGCCTTGCCGACTATATTTCTGGTAATTAAATTGGTGCACATGGCATTCGACTTATTGAGCATGTTATAAAGTCGATATGCTCCTTCTTGAACGGATTACAATTCTGACTGTATTGTTTTCTTCAATGCTTTTTTTTTACAGATGATCCATGCTTGGGACTTAATTGGCAGATACTATACAAAATAATTAAAGGGATCTGTCAGGGTTTAGAATATCTTCGGCATGGATTGGAGGTTCCAGTATGGCATTTGGACTTAAAACCTGCTAACATATTGCTAGATAAAGATATGATTCCAAAGCTCGCAGATTTTGGCTTGTCAAAACTCTTAGGTGACGAGAACACAAGAAAGAGCATCAGTCCCGTCGGCACATGGTAAAAGCTAGCTACCTCATTTTTTTCCGACAAATGATGGAATTATTGACTGAAAAGAAGCATTAAGAGAATATAAACATAATAAGCACACATCCTGTCTCTACATAGTTAGTATGCACACAACGAACACCAACACACAAACACACACACAAAAAAAACATGCTAACAAATAGCCAAGTCATACAATACAAGATCAAAACTTTGCCTAAGAAAGGAAAAAGAAACGGTACAGATAACTACCGAACATGCCAGTTTTTAGCTTCCTGTCCCAAACGTCTTTATTGCCGTTGGATGAAAACCCTGGACTTTTGTCACGTCAACTTTTCCAGTCGCTCGTGCTGGTGAGCGGTCGAACGAACGTTTTCACCTCGCTGTTCCATTTTCTATCCCCTCACTCTCCATCTCGCTCACTCTCTCCCCTTCCACCCAAAATCGATTCCAGGCGAGGAGCTGGAGGCGGCCAGATCCCGACGAGTAGTAGGAGGCCACAGGATCCTAGCGAGTAGCAGGAGGCTGCCGGATCCCGGCGACGAGCAGGAGGTCACCGGATCCAGAGGATCAGGGCGGCGCATCCTGCAGCCGCCGCCGCACGGCCCAGAGGCGGAGCTCGGCAGAGGAGGTCAAGCGGCAGAGCCTACGTCGTCGCGGCCCTCCATAGGAGGTCGGGGCGCGGAATGGGCAGATGCAGCGATGAGCCGGTCCTCGAGGAGGCGGGGCGAGCCAGGGGAGGAGGTCGTCGACAGGCCGTTGCTCGAGGAAGCGGGCGTGAAGGGGAAGGAGGTGCAGCGAGGAGGACGCCGATGGGGCGCTGCTCGAGGAGGCAGGGCGCGGAAGTGGAGGAGCTATGGCAGAGTCGTCGCGGCGTCGTGTGTAGCCGATGCGCGGCTGGGGCGTACAAGTGCAGCAACAATAGCGGCGGAATAGCCCAACGCCACTTCCATTCGGTTAACTGAGGGTGTGAGCCTCGACTCCGGCGATTCCCGATGTGCATTGGGCGGAGAGCAGCGTATTCGCCGACTCCGCCGGGGAGCGGAGGCGCGTACCCGGCGACGAGTTCCCGGGGACAGCCGCCATGCGTCCATCCTCATAAGGGAGCGCGCACGGGAAGGTGCTCATCGAGCTCGACCTACACCGCGGGGCGAGGGGGATCCGACAGGTCGATGCACCGCCGCTCCCTTTTGCATTTTTGTGTGTGCGCATGTACGTTCCATTTTTATCGATGTCTCATGAGTTTTGCTATATGCTGAGAACTATGAGCTATTTTTAACACAATTTTCCATGTTTGTGTATGAAATAGTCTCTAAATTTGACAGGCTACACCAAAATCCGAGTAGTACACAACTTTGTCGTGATTTTTTGGTCACTAAATTTCCCATGTGAGTAGTACACAAATTTAGGTTTTTGGTCCTATGATACATAGCAATTTCTAATCAGGATGTTTAGCAAAACATGCCAATTTCTTAGATTATTACAAATTCTCACACCATGGCAACTTTTATAAATTGTTAGTTCATTCGCATGACAATATTTTTGATAGTTCTCGTCCTAACATCATGGCCTATATAAGATTATTGTTGTTATAATGGTCATATGACAAATGTAGGCTTTTTCTTTAGTAACTATGTCTTGCATATATGGCAATGCGGTGACCATTGCATTTTACGGTGTTTTTGCCATGGAAAGTAAAATATACTTTTTGCCATGGCAACTTAAGATGTGTTGTTTGTCATGGCTAATTAAGATGGTTTCCCATGGCTAATTATCATGTTTTGCCATGGCAACTTGGAGTTCTATTTCACACGCCAATTAACATTTTGTGATGGCAACTTAGCATGCGTTTTCATGGCAAGTGTAGCTGTTTTCCCACACGTCGACCATTACTATCTTTTTCGTGACGACATTTTAGTAACTATAATATATGGCAAACTCAAATTATGTTTTTGACATACGAAACTAAAACTTATGTTGCCATGTCAACTCAGATTTTATTGTCGTGCCAAATTACGTTATTTCTTGGCATGACAATAATCATAATATGTTCCCATGAAAACACAACATATGTTGCCATGCAGGCTTAACTTTTGTTGCCATGCCAAATTTAACTATCTACTTTGCCATGTCACCATTTACTTTTTTTCCATTGCAAAATTTACCTTCATTGCCATGACAATTTAATTATTTAAGCAAAATTTACTCTAAATTTACCATATCAAAATTTTAATTTATTTTTGCCATGTTAAAATTTTACCTTCATTGCCATGGAAACTTTACATTTAAACACATGAACTTGAACAAACATGGCAATTTTTACTCTACTTTGCGATGTCAAATTTTTACTTTATTTTTCCCATGGCAAAATTTTACCTTCCATTGCCATGGCAACTTTACTTTTAAATGCATGGAAATTTTACTTTAACATACATGGCAAATTTTACTCTAATTGATCAAGGAAATTTACAATTTTTTGGCCATGGCAAATTTACTTTATAGACCATGGAAAATTTCCTTTTTAATTGCCATGCCAAAAAAAATAACCCGACAAACTTTTTACTTTCATTTTGTTAATGGGAATTTTTGACAATTTTAGAATTTATAATTTATGGCAAACTTAAATTATGTTTTTGCCATTTGGAAACTCAAAGTTATGTTGCCATGGCAACTCAAATTTTATTGTCGTGTGAAATTACATTATTTGTTGACGTGGCAAAAATCATTATATGTTGCCATGTAGGCTCAACTTCCGTTGCCATGGCACTTTTTAACTATCTACATTGCCATGTCAACTTTTACTCTATTTTTCCATGGGGAAATTTTACCTTCATTACCATGGCAATTTTACCTTTAGATACTTCAAATTAACTATTACATACATGGCAAAGTTTACTCTATTTTGCCATGCCAAAATTTTACCTTCATTGTCATGGTAGCTTTACTTTTAAATACACGACCAATTTACTTTAACATACATGTCAAAATTTTACTCTACTTTTCCATGTCAAAATTTTACTCTACTTTTCCATGACAAAATTTTACTTTATTTTGCCATGGCAAATATACTTTTATAACATGGCAAATTTACTTTCTAATTGCCATGCCAAAAGCAAAATAACTCCGCTGACGAAAGTATTAGCCACCTCCATGGCAACTTTTATTTTCGTTTTTGTTAATTGGAATTCTTTGCTTCCATGGGGCCCATGGTAATTTTGACATTGCAAATTGCCACCGCCACGCGCCCACCTCGCGCCGCCGAAGAAGAGGACTCCTAGAGCACTAGAACCCCACTGCTACGAGCATGCCACGTCCATCATAGCACGTACGGCCGTTCCACCGCAAGAATGCGCCCACACTTGGATGACCGATCGAACACACCCGCCGCTGTAGGAACGATCCGTCGACAGGGAGCTGGCGAGCACCGTGCGCACATGGCTGAACGCCCCATCCACCACCTAGACCCTCTGCTGAGATCCGCCGTTGCGCTTGCCCGGACCGCCGCCGGTTCCGCCGGGATCTGCCTCCCCAGATGGGACACCGCGAGGAGCTGCCCCACCGCCACCATCGACTACACAAGCTTTGCTCGGTGGTGTCCTCCAGCGGTGACGTGAGGCAGAAGGAGGACGCACGCCCGCGCGCTAGGGCAAGAAGGAGATGCCCCCGAGTCGCCTTGGGCGAGAGCGACGCAGGGGTTACGGAGCAATGAAATTGATAATGGATAATGATGGTTGCAGCCACGAAAAGTGTAGGAGATGATATTTATAGAGAAGATCCAAAATTTTGGGACACTGTTATTTGCCGATCGTTCGGTATGGGGGCATCCCCGAACGAATTGTTCGGTAGCACGTGGGGATCGATCCAAACGATTTCGTTCGTTCTGAAAACATCCCAGCCCAAACCCATGTCGCTAATGTTTTTAGGATACAAAACCCTTTCGCTAAAGAAAATCCCATAAAGCCTAGAAAAAGAAAAATAATTGGGGGGAAAATAGATATAAAGCAATGCATGCACAGGACGGCGAAAAGTTGGGCCTGCCATGGCAAAAAGCTCATAAAATACCCCTAATTAAAAAAAACATAAAGCTTTGAAATATGTAACACACAAATAAATAAGTCTGGTACATCTCTATGTTGAGGGATGGCAAATCATTAATGTTGCACAAATAGCAAATCTGTATGCCGTCAACATTTGCCATGACAAAATATCATGCCAGAGGTTGTTTTCGACTACTCGACAAAATGAAAAATTTGCCATGAATGTATTCATATATTAAGTAAAATGCCATGACCCATAAACTAGAGTTGCCATACAGAATTAAGTTGACATGAATGTATTCATACATGGATATGTACTCCATGCAATTAAGTTGCCATGCTCTATGCAAATTGGCATGGCATGGAAAATTTGCCATGAAAACAAAGAGTAAAATTACGCCATGGCAAAGAAAGTAAATTTTGCCATGTGAATAAAAACATTTTTTGCCATGAAACTCCATGCAATTAAGTTCCCATGCTCCATGCAAATTGACATGGCAAGAAAAGTGGATTAAAAATTTGTATGCTATTTTTACTATATAAATGAAGAGACCAAAAATGTGGATTAAAATTTGCCATTATGTGGAGAACAAACAAAATGCACATCTATTGTTTAGTAGTAATTGCCATGTTTTGTAAGTAAATGTAGCAAAGTATATAGAAGTAAAAAAATCCAATGAACTGTTGAAAAGCCAAAATTTGCCGTGGATGTAAAGTATTTTTGTCATGGCACAATAAAAGTAAAACTTGCCTTAGTAGAAGTAAATTTTCCATTTGTGCCAAAATAAATTTTCCATGTATGTTAAATAAAAAATGCCATGGCAATAAAAGGTAAATTTGCAATTTCAAAATTACCGTGGCCCCCATGGAAGCAAGAATTCCTTTAACAAAAATGAAAATAAAAGTTACCATGGAGGTGGCTAATACATTCGTCAGCGGAGTTATTTTGTTTTTGGAATGGCAATAAAAAAGGAA